TTTGCAATTCTTTTTGTTTAATTTATAAACATACAACTACATTGGACACATACCTCAGTGCCACGGGAGCTAAGAAAAAGGTGCTTCCTGCAAAGTAGGATATTTTCCTATGACTTTGAGCTCTGTCCTATAGACATAGAAATTATTTCACTCAACTTTAGTTGTCTGCAATGTAGACATCAACATCTAAGATGATCCCCAGGTTTCCTTTACTGACACCAGTAAGCAATAGGCTCTTCTAGAGTCTGATTCATCTGACCTATTTAGATGTCTACCTTATGAAGAGATGAATCATGCCCTAAAAGTGTCTATTTCTCTCCATTGACTATAAAGGCAGCCTACAAAAGCCAATTTAGATATAAAAGACATCTCCATTTGGACAGATAAATTTCACCCCAGCAGCCATGAAAGGGAGCACGGCAAGAATGAATGCTATTTTCAGTTAACTTCTGCATGATTTTGAAACAGAAATCCACTGGGTCACCTGGGGACAATACTACTGAGAGCTGCCCTGTCCCGAACCACCATACAGCAGCTTCCTCTCGCAACACACAAGGCGACCGGGAAGCTCTAGTGCCTGCTCCCTCTGCACCTTCTCAAGAAGATGCTCAAAACAAGAAAGGGAACTTTTAGGGCTCTTCCTTCTTTATTTTTACATAAAGCATGGTTGATCTTATCAGAACCTGCATGTGGTTTGTCTTCCCCCTTTGTTTTTAACAAATTTTTGTAAAAAACATTTTCTTATTACAGTTCTGATTCAGTAGAACACCTTGGGACCTTCAGTTGATTTCAGCTTCTTCTTGGATAGAATGGAAGGTCCTTTATATTTTTTATCAGGTATTGCCCTTTCTTTGGCATTTCAGTTCACTAAAGATACAACTATTTTCGTAGAAATGTACTTCTGTACCTACTTTCTCTTCATATGAATGCCTTTTTTATATGTAGGCTTTTTTAATAAGAACTTTATTTCTACTGTATTAAAAAAATATGGTTTGGACCTCAATCAACCCTGATCCAAACCTGTTTGATCAATAATGATCTACTTAACTCCAGTTGGCTTTCAAGTTTAGCCTTCTGTTTCTCCCTTGGCTTCAGAAGGAATACCACAGCACTTGCTGTACTTGATCGTTCATCTGAACTGGAAAAAGGTACCAAAATGCCTATCTGTTAAGATTTTTGGTCCATCAAAAATAAACTAGATGGAAATATTGTACCCAATATTCATAAAGACAAAAGAATAATTTAAAATCATTTAACAGAACTAAAAACCGGAAATTGGCTGAAATGAATCTCTATGGTATTTCTCCTCCATAAAATATTAGGATAGTAGAAAAGGAGAGACTCACTTTTAAACTGTCATGATATAATAAAATTATTTTTACCTCTTCTAATCCAATTACTCCAACTTATGCTGTTTGCTGCATAAATTATCAGCTCTATCATCATCAGAGTTCTCTTAAAAACATTTTACTAAGGTTATATCTTTCCCTTGATATGTGCGGATTTACACATATAACTCCTAGTGCTGTGAGGGGAGACCATGCCCTTTCATAGTGGGTTTAATTTTATTTTATATCCACACAATTTTCAGGGTGATTTAAGGATTAGGTTTTCTAGCAGGAGGAGCTATATATCCTTGAAAACAAAAGAACATTTTTTTTTTTCCTAATTCTTGCTGGTGATATGACCCTGCCCTGACGTCTTTAGCTCTAACACAACTGTTCTCTTTAGCCTGCTAACATCAAGAGGCCCCTGTGGTCCATCACATTTGGCTGACCCATGAGATATAGAAACAGCTATGACTCTTCAGGAGCAAGTATGGTGCCTCCTAGAAAATGTAATTTTAAAAGCCTAGTGTCTCCTTTTTGAAATCACCAAAATCTGGAGAGAAACAAAGAAAGAAAATCAATTCTGTATGATGATTCCTACTACCAAAATTTACAGTGGCAATTTATATACCATAAGTTTAGAAATGTGATATTTTGACTGATGAACATTGCTTCTTTTTAGAAGGTCATACTAGGAAGACTTATATTGCCAGAAACTAATATGAACTTTCATCACAGCAATACATTTGCAATGCTCTGTCTGAACTAACATGAGGCATCATTTTGGTTTCTGTATCCCTGCTTTTCCACCCATATCCTTACATAAGCACATAATGATTGAGAAGTACAGAGAATTCATTTCAGCTGATGAGGGAAGCTAAGTATTATGACTACTCAGTTATCAGTGGAGTAACTAAGATACAGGAAATATGGGAAGACACCTGACTCAGCTTCAAAAGCAAGGCAAATACTGTGATAATCCCCAACCCTTCGCTCTTGCTGAATTTTGTTCAATACTTAGCTAAGCGTCTTGCAGGAAGTTTGTGGCAGAGAAGAAACATGAACTCATCTTTCCCAACACTAAGCTAATTCTCTAATTAATGGACCAGACTCATCTAATTCCCTGAGGCACTGTAGGACAAGCAGGAGGAATATAAAGCTGGCTAAGAAGAACGTTGCATACCAGGGATTCCTACACTGCCTAATTAGGGTTGCTTTACTAGCTCTCTTCACCATGGTGGCAGGGCAAACTGAATA